ATTTTTATTAAAAGGATAAACATATGCACGATCTTAATTGTTGAATTATTATGTTTATTCTTGTGCTACAATGGAGTACCACTCAGCGTCAATGCTGAGCGGATAGCGTTGTTTTCCTTTTTGCTGTCCGTAGGTGATCAGACAGATGAACCTAGAGCCGATCCCAGAGGGCATTGAGGAGATGTACGATGGCGTGGCTGTCTCTTTAATCTGTTGATTATGCTTTATTTAATTAACTTTAATGCTTATTACGTTTTCGGGCAAGATCCCAAGTTGTTTGACTTTAAAAAGGCTTCCGCATTATTTTAAATTACTCCGATGGATTTTTATATGTATTGATAGAACGTTTGTTTAAAATTGTTTTGAAAATGTTGTATATTCGGATACCAATCCAGTGGCACACCGGTCCGCTATCTCACGGGTTTGGGTTACGCGGGTTGGGGTGTTACACTCCCTATGTCCAAAATGAATTGCCATATCTATACAAAATGTAAAATTTCATAGGTTTTAGATTTATATTTTTATAAATTGGCATAAAAATGAACAATACAACTTACAAAAAAAATGTTAATTAAAATTTATACATACTAGAGCATTGTTAAAAATATTATATTTTTTTCACCTCCCTCTCATGCAATATTGTGTGGTTGGCCAAACATTTGCTTTGAATTAATTTTAATTTCACTCAATTTTTATCTAATTACATTCAACTTTACTCAATCTCAACATACTTTAATCAAATTGTATGTAATTTGGCAATCCTATTATATTAATTTTATATCAGAACTAAATATACTTCTTTCATAATTTGTAATCTAAATTTATAGAAGATGACTAAAAAGACAAAATATAAGATATTTAGGACAAATGAAGTAAAAAATAATATGAGGTGATGAATTGATGATAGATTAATAAATGCGATATGACAAAAATGAACGGATAATTAAATTTTAGTGCAAAATAAACATATATGCAAATATATCTAAAATCGAAATATACCTGAATTGAAATATATCCGAATTGAAATATATCCGAGTTGGAATGTATCTGAAATCGATCTAAACCGATTGACATCCAAACCGAATCTGAGCCGACCCAAAATCAAATTGGAACCAAAAAATGTACAGACCCGAATTAAGTCCAAACCAAAAGCAAACCGAAAAGATCCAAATTGAATTGATTATAACATTTTTTGAAAGATACTTGTTAGGGAATGTAGTAGGCCGGGTTTGTCGTTAACGAGCTCATTCTTGTTGGGCTCGTAATTAGGTCATGGTCTTGTAGCTATTATAAATAGCGGATCTGTGTGTAATCAAATCATTCAAGTTTAGATCTAATTATATTTCTACATGGTATCAGAGCAAGTTTTGAATTCTTGAGACCTCAAACACGCTTCTTCCCCTGCCGGTGGGCATACACAATTCAATGCCTACCGGCGGGATATTGTAATTTTTGATTTCCTTTGATTGTTCTCCCTCACTGAAGAATATCATGAACTCCTTTGACGAAAAACATTGCTGTCGAGGAATCCCGCCCAACCATCAATCTTGAAGAAGTTGTCCGAGAAGGGTTGTTCTACAGAGACAAACAACTCTTTCCTTAGTAGGCAATAAAAAAAGTCAGCGTTTAGGGTGTTCGAAAATAATGGCGTTCCCCCTGTTTGTTCGAATACGGTGAAGGTTCGAAAAGAATGGCGTTCCTTTACTCGACTGATTATTCGGCGGATTCGAAAAGCTTGGCGTCTCCGTTGAAGAAAAAAAACTGAAGTGTCTAGATGACACTTAGACAACGATGGCAGCGACTTCCTCAAGCTTTGTTGCTTTAATCAATCTCTTGATGTCCAAGCTGCGCATGTTGAACTCCCATGCTCCAGCTTGAGGGGGGGTGTTGGCGACAGAAGAAGGAAGCCGGATCAAAGAAGGAAACAGAATCCCTTTGGGATTCGGTTTAGTGTCTTTCCTAGTTTGCTTAATTCTTGTTATAGTAGGAATAGAAATATGGTAGGAATAAAAGTTTACTTATATGCTTTACTCTCTTCCTATATAAAGAGGGTTAGACCTTTGTATTCACAAGAACAATTCAATATACAAAATATTTTCTCTTATTAATTTCTACATAGTATCGGCCTACTACATTCCCTTAACTTTTTTTATGAGCGCCAATACCTAAAGGACCACGAGCCGCTGGGTATGGACTTCCAGACGAACAATCGTGTTAAGCAGGCCACAGGTCGTTGGTACAACCTCCATACGGACAACTGGGCTAAAGACAAACGGGCCGCTAGAAATGAACGTCTAGACGGACACCTTGACAAACGAGGTGGGATAAAACTAGCTCCGATACCATGATAGAATTTAGGATTGGGTATGAACAACTGGATTGGGCAATAAGACACTTGGGTCGAACCACATTAAAAGATTGAATCCAATCGATTAGTTATGTCAAGGATGTTAGACAAATGTGCAACTCTAGAGGGGGGGTGAATAGAGTTGTTTTCAAGAATGTGCGTTTTTCGTAAAAATTATCGCAGGAATAAGTAAAGAGAGTAAGGGAAAGAAGAACACCGGGATTTATACTGGTTCACCACCTCGTGGCTAGTCCAGTCCTCCGAGAGACTCTCTCGAAAGTCCTACTAATCTTCAAGCTTCAACGGGTGCTTGAAAAACCGGTACAACTTGAGAACTTGAATCACACAAGCCTCACTTTCTTACAACAACAAGACTTGAGTCACACAAGTCTTAAGAACAACACTCAAATGAGATTGAGTTTACAACACAAGAATGAANGTGCAACTCTAGAGGGGGGGTGAATAGAGTTGTTTTCAAGAATGTACGTTTTTCGTAAAAATTATCGCAGGAAAAAGTAAGGAGAGTAAGGGAAAGAAGAACACCGGGATTTATACTGGTTCACCACCTCGTGGCTAGTCCAGTCCTCCGAGAGACTCTCTCGAAAGTCCTACTAATCTTCAAGCTTCAACGGGTGCTTGAAAAACCGGTACAACTTGAGAACTTGAATCACACAAGCCTCACTTTCTTACAACAACAAGACTTGAGTCACACAAGTCTTAAGAACAACACTCAAATGAGATTGAGTTTACAACACAAGAATGAAAGCTCAAACAATTGAGCAAAGTAGTGTTGAAAGATTTAAGCTCTATGGATGACAACTTCTATAGCACTCAAAGAAAAAATATTTCTAACTCTCAAAAATAATATTTTGATGAGGAAGATGAAGCAAAGGATGAATAGCTCAAAGAAATATATTGGAGTGAAAGAGGTGTGACTTGAAATGAAGGAGAATGAGGGATTAAATAGGCTGAGGAAAAATAAAGCCGTTGAAGAAGGCTGATGATATGCACCAGACAGAATTAATCGATTAATTTATGGATTTTAATCGATTAAAGTTTACAGAAGCGAAAGAGGCTTTTGCGCAGGGTGCAAAATAATCGATTAATTTTGACAAAGTAATCGATTAGATGGCGCTGTCTCAACTAATCAATTAAGTGAAGAAGATTAATCGATTAATTTAAGAAAAAGGCTTCAGCGAGAAATGCAATCTTAATCGATTAATTTTGAAGGAAAAATCGATTAGTCTGCGCTGTGAGAATTAATCGATTAAAAGAGTAAGAAAAATCGATTAATAATGAAGGCTTGAGAAATCCAGCGCTGTGAAATTGGATCTAATCGATTATTTTAGAATAATTAATCGATTAAAGTAAAAATAATGCACAAACATAAAGGGCCCAAGCCAAGCGCGATTGGAAGCCCTTTGGCTTCTAACTCGTTGTTTTGGACAACGGGAATATCAAAGGACAACGGACGCTCCTACTCAATTAATTTGAGTAGGGGAGAAAAAAAGAGTCCAAAAATTATTTTGTGTGTCAAATGATGTACACGAAAAATATTTAAGGTATATTTTTTCTTTAAAAAAATTTGTGTAATCTCAAAAAATGTTTTTAAAAAGTTTTGACACACTTATTTTGAGACTGACTTAGTAAAATATTTTAGACTGAGGAAAAGTATTTTTTTTTAACTGACTCAAAAAAATAATAATAATTTTTATCCCTCAGAAATTAATTTGTTTGTGCAGAAGATATTGTCATCCTTACACATATTCCTAGACTAAAATAAAAAGTCTTCGGAGTCTTCTCTTCACTTAAAAAATCTGCGTAGGGGTGGTCGTCGATTTATATCGCCATAAACATCTTGATACCCTTCTTTGCTTTTCTTGATACGAAAAATAAATTTTCGATCAGCTGGAAATTAATCACCCTGTTTGTCATTCATCAAAACAAAAAATATTCCAGAAGAAAAAGAAAAAGGGGTTTGAACTCATGTCCAACAAAGGAACCAACTCAACCAAAAGCTCAAGCTTGTGCTTGTGGCTCATGAAAGATTGTTATATACTCTAACACACCCCCTCACGTGCAGGAGTGACCTCTTTGAACCTAGCACGTGAAACCTTAATTTTCTTAAATTGGGTGGCGGTGAGTTTCGAACTCGTGACCTCTAGGTCATCAAGGCTCCGATACCATGTCAAGGAACCAACTCAACCAAAAGCTCAAGCTTGTGGTTGTGGCTCATAAAAGTTAAGGGAATGTAGTTAAGAGGGTTAGGGAATGTAGTAGGCCGGGTTTGTCGTTAACAAGCTCATTCTTGTTGGGCTCGTAATTAGGTAATGGTCTTGTAGCTATTATAAATAGCGGATCTGTGTGTAATCAAATCATTCAAGTTTAGATCTAATTATATTTCTACATGGTATCGGAGCCAACCTGGGAACGTGAACCCTAGTTTGCTCTAATTCATTGCTTCCGTTGTCGCCGTCGCCGGTGGTTTGTCCGGTGATGGCGGCGTCACCATCATATTTTGTTCTTGCCACATCCTGATACACGCAGTTGTGATCCAATCGTCGTTGTTGGTTCTCGTTCGGCATCACCATCTAATCTCTTTACCAAAATCAGATTAGTATCACTGTTCCCCCAAATTTGGATCCGTCAAAAAGATCCAAAAGTTTTCCGCTGCCGTCGTTAGATGTAATATCGTCGATTTGTTCTTTCACAAAATCAACAACCGCTATAGTTTTCAGTTGTTCCGGTCTCCTATGTGGTCGTGATCCATGCACAATTGCATATTTTTATGTGGTTTCCAATTTACAATTTGGGCCAAGAGTGAGCAAGTGAAGAGCAAGTTTAATCCACTCCCCTTGCTGAAGATTTGGAGTTTAATTTGTGCCGATTGAAAACCAGAAGTCTAATTTTGTTTTGGATTGACTTTGCTTTTGCATGTACTCCGCGAAAGAAGGTTTATGTTCACTCTGCCGTTCATCGAATTTTGTTGACGTTTTGATGACATTGTTTTTTGTTGCCTTTTGGTATGTTCAATTGCAACCAGTCGTATGTTCGACATGTCTGTTTGTGAGGTTGGTCGCATCGTCGCGCCTCAGTCCGACAACACGGCCTCCAAGTTTGGGATGCTTGTTAGTCGTCCCCGTGTCACCGCATGGGAGTCATTCGTCATCAAAATTTATTGTTCGTTTGTAGGGCCAGTCACCTTCGTTCGTTGTTATCACTGCAGATCAAGTTCAAGTTGTTTATCAAGTTTTTTTTAGTCCTAGTTTTTTTAATTGTCCAAGCTGTGCATTCGTCAACCTCATGCTCAACTTGAGGGGGAGTGTTAGGGAATATAGTAGGCCGGGTTTGTCGTTAACGAGCTCATTCTTGTTGGGCTCGTAATTAGGTCATGGTCTTGTAGCTATTATAAATAGCGGATCTGTGTGTAATCAAATCATTCAAGTTTAGATCTAATTATATTTCTTCAATACTCGAACCAAACTAATCCAAACTGGAATCGATCCGAGTGCCACCTTGTCAAAAGATTGCTTGACCAGACATTTGAACTAAGTAGGTCTTTACGAACAAGCTTAATAAATATGGTGTAATAACCACTAATAAAAGTTGTCTCATTGTTAAAGGTTTCAATTAAATTGAAAAGAAATGCTAGAGTAATAAACATTTTGGTCACAAAATACACAAACATACTATTTATGTATTTAAATGTCTACTTTTTAATTATTTATCATTATTTTATTCACTTGGTAAGGTACACAAATGGAAAGTTTATGTATTTTGTGACCGAAGTTTTTGTGACTTTAGCATTTCTCTAAATTGAATGACTTGATTATGACGAAACATTTATTCGGTCGCAAAGTTTGAATCAGTTTGCATGCTTTTGGAATTTGCTAGTTTCAAAAGCTTCAAATATTTTAAATAGTTTTCAAAAGCACATTTTCAAATAATTTTCTGCGAGAAGAAGCTTACAAGGAATAACCTCTGCGATTCGAGATTCTTGATTTCCCAAACCATATTTTTAAACTTCACAAGGCTTTATATGGTTAAAAACAAGTTTCACATGCTCGATAAAAATGAATATTAAGCTATCTTTTAGACGCCAGTTTTTAAAATGATAAATTTGACTCAACATTAGACGCACGTGTGTTCAAAAGGCGAGGACATTCTTATTGTTCAAATATGTGTTGGTAATAACAACATGGATTGATTATACTAACCATGTTATGTGTGAGTTCTCACAAGTAATGACCAATGAGTTTGGAATGAACATGATGGGTGAATCATTCTTCCTCAGGCTGCAAAGTAAAAAAAACTTCCAAAATTCCAAATCAACCCAATATGGGAAAGAGCTCTAGAACTTTAACCTTCAAGAGTTCAAAACATATGCTACTCTCATGAGCATGAACAATGTACCCCAAGATTTGTACCTCAATTTGTACCCCGCAGTTTTGCACCAACATTTTGTGTTGGTGTAAAACTAATTTTTGTTAAACGCACCAACATTTGTGTCCGTGTGAGTTTTTATTAACGCACTAACACTTCTGTCGGTGTAAACCATCGAAATGTTTGTGCAAACCTGTGGTGTACAAATGGGGTATATTTGTTGGTGTAAGTGTAGCATGGTCCTAAAACAAATTTCAGCCTTATTTAGTCTATCATCATTCTCTCTAGGTAGGAGTAGACAGAGGGTCCACGCTAATCTCTTTCACTAGTCACAAAGACTAGTATGAGACGTTATAAGTTCGGATATTAAAGAGCGCAATGAATATTGATAAAAGAGCCAAATCGGAATAGCATGTACAATAAAACTGACATTCTGCAAAAAAAAACTAACGCAATAACAGTCCAATTTTATTTTTTTTTAAAAAAAAAACCTTCCCAATCAATTGCCACACATAAAAATAGCAATAAATGAATATGTAAAACTTAAAAAACAAAAAACACAATGTAACCGCAAAATTATATCCTACATCCGGTTGTATGGTTCTTTCTGTACCGCCGGAAAAAACTAGAATTGGAAAAGGAAGAGATAGAAGCGGGAGACGGGCCAGAGCATGGCATCCAGTGATTGAAGAGGAGGTTGCGATGGTAGGTAGGTCCGATCAGATTGGCAGCAGAGATCTGAGCTGGCGGGATGATGATGACGATCTATCCGTGCAATTTTTGGGAGGGAGATCCGATCGACTGAATCGGACTGCCTACCTTGTGGGTCCGACGAAATCCAGGAAGATCCGACGAAACGACGGGGAGGGATGAAGATGCGTGAGGATGATGATGGTAGTGAGTTTTTCAATTGTGAAGGAAATTGGAAAATACTTTATTTGAGAATGAGTCTTTTCTTATCTGAGAATGGGTATTGCTTTCTTTAAGAATGAACACTGCGCTATTTATTATAATTATATTAAATAAATGTGTACTACATTATCTCAGAATTTTAAAATGAGTACTACATTATTTCAGAATAAATACTACGTATTTGGAAATGCATTTTTATATTTATAAGAGAATGAAAACTATCATAATTTTCTGAACTGGACCGGTGACCGAACTGGCTAGTCGAACCGGTGGTTTAAACATATTTAAAAATTGTATATATTATATAATATTATATTTTTAAAACTGAAAAGGAATCCTTATACAATCTTTTTTTAGTTATGAAATATTATAAAACATTAAGTGAACTTCTAACAAAAAGCACCCTTGCTTGAATGGTTGGGAACTTAACCAAATTCTTAAGAGATCTTGGATTCAAACCTCATGGTGGCATTTTTTGGAAAAAAAATTGCAAATTTCACAAAAAAAAAGCATTGGTCCGACTAGTTTGAGCAACCGGTTCACGCTGGTTTGGACTGCTTTGAAGCCAGTTATGGTCCAAAGTGCTGGATTGTACCAATTGAACCACCGGTCTGAACCGGCCGGTCCACTTTTTAAAACTATGAGTACTATTTTTATTTCAGAATAAGTACTACCCAGATGTACTTCCGGATGTACCATATACCTTCTCAAATGTAACAGGTGATGACTTAAAACAAAAAAGGGGGGAGGGAGGGGGCAACATTGCAAGTTTTATACTCCCTCTGTCCCATTTTAAATTATCTGTTTATCTTTTTTCTTCGTCCCAAAATAAATTGTCTGTTAGTTATTTTCGTAAACTTTTAAAAATGAAATACCTAAACTATCCCTAAAATAAAACACTCTTCTTCACTTTATCTTCTCATTCATCGTCACTCCTCTTAAAAAGTAATAGCAATTTCGAAAAATCAACTCTATTTTTTCTTTTTCTTAATATGCTCAAAAGTAAAAACATGCGATTTAAAACATGATAGAAGGAGTAGTAAGTGTTATCTATTACTCCTACTCACGAGAGGTCCAAATATGAACAAATAGTAAGGCAATTGTACATAAAAGTACTCCTTAAAATTTAAGACTAACTTATACAGGAAATAAGGGCTTTTTCTTTTCAGCTAATTTGATTGGTTCTGATCTGATTGAAATAAATTTTAATATAAATGTAGTGGTATTTAAAGTTAATTTTGATCTGATTTGATCCAATAAGAATAAGTAATAAGTAATAAGAATCAATTGGAGAGAACAAGTTCTAAATCCTTTTTCCTTTTCGCAAAGGTTCTCTGTACGTAGTAGATCAGTAGAACTGACTGTACTCTTTTATAGGGCGCTATCAAAAGGGGATAGCAGAGACAATCTGCCTACTGCTCTTTGAGATCCTAGAACAAAACATAAACAGCAGTAGCACTGATGATAACAAGAACAGCCTAAAATATGTCCTCATTTCTTGCATTCCCAATTCAAGCACTTCCATCTTTTTCCCATACCTGCTTCTCCTTTCCATCAAATAGCCATTCAAGTAGTCGTCGATGGAAACCCACTTCTTGAAATTGCTAGATGCCGAAGCGTTCGGATGAAATTCATCCATCTGGTGTGCACTGATACTGAACAATGTAAAGAATACAGCAGACCAATCATTCAGAACTCTCTGCAATATAAAAGTTCCATAAGAAATTTCTGATCGGTTTTCCTGACTACGAGTCGTTTGAAGACCAGGGATTTAAGATAGAACAGATGAGGAACCTAAGATGAACTAAAAACATGATGACATACATTGAAAGTGTTTGTGCTCGTGGGATTGAACATCTTAAAACAGTCCTTTGATGACGCTGCAGGATCGCCATAGATCTGCTTATCAGTGTGCACATAGTTATAAAGGAAATCGAGTATGATACCCACCAATATTGAAAGTGAACGAACGGTCATTTCAAGAATTTTGAAGCTCAGTTCCCTACATTAAAAACTTTATATATTGTGTAATATAAACGAATTAAGGCTGGAACATATTGTGTTTATTTGATATACGTGAGCAATTTAATCACCACATAATAATTTCAATAATAGACTAATTTGAGGCATCTTTGGTATTTTATACAAATCTCAGCCTGCTGAAAAAATCAACCTGGAGGCCACTTATAGGGCTATAACAAGCAGATAGAGATTGAGACTACATTTTGCCTAAGTTGAAGACACGAGGAGAATGAGTTGCACTGGCAGATTCAAGAAAGTATGGATTCAAGATTCCTATGTTGCACACTTGCACACAATTAAAAGGAATTTAATCTGTAACTATATTTTTTCAAATGTATTTGCCTATCTAAGAGTAACAAAAAAACACACACACACACTAGAAAAGGAATGAAGTCAATATTCCCAATAGAAGAACACGAGATTAGGAGAACTTCAAGACTAGAAACGCCTCTATATTCACTTGTTCATACTTCATACTTAGGTACTCACTGACTGTTTAAATTGATGCCTAACTCAGTTGGGGTAAACTTTGGAAGATTTTAGAATAAACATTTGAAGAATGCAATCACAATTGACAACTCTTCACTGTCTTCTTTTAGAATCTACCAAATTTACAGAACTCTGCTTTAGAAATTTGATAACCCTTCATCAATTCTGGCGGTGAGAGAGAACCGTGTAGTGAGTCCGGAGATATGCACAATGTAAAGACATGAAAGCTAAGTGCTTCTTTCTAGTCCTTTTTCCTTTACTTTCTCCTTACTTTCTCACTTCTTCATCCTACTGCCCCTGCTACTGCGTTAACTAATCTAAAGCAGCAAGAAAAAACTCTAGAACTACTCCTTCCGTCCCAAAATATCATCCTAGTTTGACTTTTGTGGTCTCTTTGACCATAAATTAATTATAGTTTTAAATAAAAAATTCTTATAAAATTTGATATATCAAAACTACATCTTAAAATGAATATAATTATATTTAATTTACATAATAACTAAATATACTTTTTTCACAAGGTATGCAAAGTGACCAAAAAAAGTCAAAGTATGACGATAATTTTGGAAAGGAGGGAGTATAAAAGATAAAAAAATCATACAGATTGCAATATAAAGAAAAATACATGACAAAGATGAATCTCAACTTTCTCGTGGCATGTTTTTCTTTTATGGCATCTTTATCCGGGGTGTTTTCAAACTCTATAGCAACTGCTTATGACTTTTGAGTAATGCCTTTGAGATATTTTAGTGCTTGAAATTGTCTTTAAATGTTACAAACATTAAATAATTACATTTTAAAGCCAAACACTCAAAGTAGGTTACTACCTGCTTGAATTTTTGCCTATTGCTTATATTAAAAAACTTCACAGTTATGTATTTCACTTGAGAGTTTTGCGTACTGTGTTGGATATCTTAAGCCTTACCCTAATGCCACTAATGGTCGTGAACTTTGTTTTTTTTGTATATCATTGTATTCTAAATAAGGATCATTTGCAAAGACTTCATTCCATCAATACAATATATTTTTCCTCTTCTATTCAACAAATTCATTTATTGTATTCCCTTCCATTGTTATTTTATCTATGGTGTTGAGTTGTCCTTTCCCTTTTATACTTAGTTCTCCCCCTCTCTCATTAAAAGAGCATGTTTACAAAGGCAAAACTTTAAAGCTTTATTAAGGAACAACTATAAGAAAACATCAAATATAGCTATATATTTTCATAGAAAAAAATAAATATAGCTATATATTAATTGTATTCATTGGCTTTGCTAATTACGCACACTCAGCTTGGGCAGGATAATTTATTTCATAAAAAAAGACATTAAATATGAAAAAAACTATTTTATTCTGTTCAAATATAACTTTTGTGAGACAAACATGAGTTTTCCAACAACTCATTTTGAGGGGCATAGTAATTTAGATAAAGTCCTTGTAGAATCCAATGATATAATTCATTGTTATATTTGATTCTGTAAACTTGCATGTATTTGAGCCTATATGATCATCAGTGTCCCTTCTTTAAAGAATAAACAAAAATGGTACACACCTCAAATGTGAAAGCCATAGGCACCCGCCCAACATCATACATGTAATCTGTTGATGTCCCATGTGCTAGATATCTGTACAACATGTGGCAAAGTAAGGGTCAGAAATTATTAGTTAGAAGGAAAATTAACACTATGTCTGGTTCAAGGAATTCGAGAGGGAAAAGAAAAGAAAAGAAAATGATATGGAAAACAAGTTTTCTTGTTTGGATAGAGAGGAAAGGAAAAGAAAAATGGAAGGAAAAGAAAATGAGAAGACAAAATGAACTAAGTGGAGGTAAAACAAAATTCTTCCCACTTTGGTGAGGAAAATGGGAGAAAACCATTTTCTTTTCTTTTCCTTTCCTTGGACCAAACATAGTGTAAGGAAATGATACTTGAAAACCATTCTTTCATATTTTGGCCTATATACTTGAAAACATTAAGAGCCCGTTTGGTGAGTTTTAGAAGGTTTATATGATATGGATTTTGTAATCGGGGGGGGGGATGATATGAGCTCTAAAATCTAGGAGAAACGATATGGATTCTGAAATCTAAAATGAAGTTGATTTGAAAGATCTAAAACCATTATTTTTAGTGATAAGCAGGAGTGGCAGTAATGGGGCTGGTCGGCAGGGGGTGGGTGGTGACGTGGTAGCCAGCGGCGGGGGTGATCAAAGGTTGAGGAAATCCCCATATTTATATCTCCCAAGTTTGAGAGATATCAAAACTCTCCTGTTTGGAAGGGTTTTGATGTGTGGAGATACCACTCGGAATTCTGTTCATAAATCACCAAACACGAAAAAAGGGTTTGGGTGATATCAAAACTCATATCTCGTATACTGACCAACAGGCTAAGTTTTGCATACAAGCATTTGAAAACTATTGCCAGTAAATTTCTTTTTATGAACCATTTAGCGAAATGATACAGACCCAACAGAGCCTCCACCAGATCCAACCAAACAGCGGTCATTCAAGTGTAAATGGTTCAGCTTTCCAAGCATCAATTTCATCCTCTGGGAAAGTAATCCGTCTGGAGTTGTGTTCTTATGATCGTAAGGCATAAATAGAGCCTAAAAGAGAGAAGAATCATGTCAGACACCACAAGCAGGTTCTTATAAGTGAAATTATTATGTCATTGGTTATATCTTAGTCAAAAAACAGAATGAAAATACAAAAGAGATGAAAAAACTAGTAATTCTTAAAACATTAAATGCCTACTGATATGGTATATTTCTTTGGTTCTATTTAACATTTATTTCACATAATTGCTGTGATTTGTATAGTCTGCCCATGCAGAATGTAGCCATTCTTCAGTAGTACCAAAAACCTTGATGTTGGTTTTTGCATTGATCAATAACAATTTTACAATGAAAAATTTGATGATATAAAGGATATAAAGATGAAGTACAATGCTACATCATCTTAGAAATTTTGTTTCAAATGATTTTTTACAAACATTAGGTGGGTGTAAAATTATTTATATACTCAATAAATTAATACAATTACCAATTTATCATATTGAAAATTAGTATGTAATATAAGTATATAAGCTCAATTCGAGTGTGCAAATGCATGAAACTGTTTTAACACGGAATTAAAGATATAAACTAGAATGAACTCAAAAGGAAATGAGATTTGAACCAGATCAGCCCTAAATATGTGCATACATCTCTGACCAATGAATTGTTCCATGCGTAGGATATTGCGTGTCTCTATTTTTGTCCCTTCCCTGGTCTGGATTTTCTTTTGATCCATTATTTATATTTCACAAGCATCCCAAGCTTTCAATTCCCTTACAGTAAATACAACAATTCCTCTTTTGAAACTAAAACATGACTTTTTGATTATTGGGGATAAAATACTAAGAGAGCAAGCAATCAAGGGTAGTCGAAAAAATATGATACAAAAAGAGTTGACATTGCAGAATTTTATTTAAGAGTTTTTATTTCAACCTTAATATTGATGTCTCTTGGTATCGACAAAATCGAAAGCAACATTGGGACTAACACGCCTCTAAACTTGCAATACATAGTATTGGAATGAGATAGAAATACTTATTGTATTCATGATGATATATGACTTGATTACAAAATATGGTAAGAAACACAATTATATGCTGAGTAAGTGTAAGAAGGAGCTTACAAGGTGTTAGGACGGTGAGTGTGTTTCAAGCTTGGATTACTACAAAACTTGCAAGCCCTAATGGATTGAAATATCAATAAGACAGGCCTAAAGGTCTTTCCATATATTTGAGCTGAACAAGATTCTGGGGTATTGACCCTCCTATATGAGAACTGTCAGTCCCAGCCGTCCAATCTAAAAAAATAGATTTTAACACTTCATTCCCATTTCCCATTTCATCTATTTATTTCTTATCTCACCCTTTCTTCCCCATAAAATGAATAGCTGCTACTCTTCTCTCTGCCACCGGCAACACCTTCCTTCCCCAAATGAATGCTGTCTCCCCTCCCAACCCCAGTAACACCTCACCGCATACCATCCAGCCTCTCCTCTCCCCTCTGCGACGATGACGCCGACCCGTTTTCTCTGCCTCATTCGCAAATCCTCCCACCTTTTTTTGTCTGGCCGACTAGGCCCCTCACCAATCCAGAAGTACACAACCTAAAGGCTCTTATTCTAGCTCTATTGTTAAATAACAAGTGTTGAATTGAATTTTGTTCATTAGAGCTAATAATTTTTATTCTAAAAAAATAACGGCATTGGCACATGGCAAGGGCACTTATTCTTAAAGTGTAGTTTAGTCTGTCATCCATTTGAAACAAGAGAATGAGGCAGGTTTGGAAAATTCCCTTGAGCAAATGAATCAGCTATGTAGAAAAGTAGAAATAACTCAAGTGTTATTATAGCACTAATTGTTAAACTTGCCTCCATTCCAGAATGCACATTAACCCATATATGTGGCTCAAATTCTGTGGATAATCTACGCATTATTTGAGTCTCAGGCTCACTAAAGGGAGCAGTCCCAGGATTCTCTTCATATGGATCATAGTCCTGCAAAAAAACAAGTGGGTAGAGTGGAGGGAGGTTAGCAAATAGAGCCATAATATTAAATGTATAATGAAACATACCACAAAAATAGGGTGGCTGTCAAGCAATGTTGTGAAAGGTGAGAACTAGCTACAAGACGTTGGATGAAAATGCCTTGAGGCGTAGGCGTAAGCCTCATTAAAAATTTTAAAAAATACTAAGATAAATACCCTGAGGTAAAAATAAAAACGCATAATCCATAATCATGTCATAAAATCCTACTCCCTTCATCCCACAAAGATTTGTCTATTCACTATTTGATGATCAAACTACAATCACTTTCTTTCTTGAATTTCATTACTCATTTGATAAATAGTACTCGTATATTGTTGTCACCTTTTGTCTTATACACCTTTTGATGTAGTTTTTAATTATATAACTTTTGTTTTTTAAATTTTACCCCATTTCCATATAAATTTTATGCATGTGGGCAAATCTTTGTGGGACAAAGAGAGTACAATGATAATTTTTACGAGTTCCTACAAGATGGTCTTTTAATCTACTCACGCCTCCCGTGATAATTGTATTACAGTGTTGGTGTTTCACATACATATAATCGCTTTATAAAATATGGATAAAACTTCACGCAAAAATAAAGTCATATCATTCTTTGAACTCAATTTATAAACGTGAGCAATTTTAGCTAATACAGGATTTAAACACAAAAGAAAATAGGAGAATAACTAGATTTAATGTTATCTCAAACCAAAATTAGACTAATACTTTAGAATAATTATTAGACTAATAATTCGCATTCGGTTAAAAAAACTACACTAGTACATTAAAATTTTAACTACAAATATATATGAAATTTTAAGTTAAGCAACCTTGAGATACGTTAAATAAAAATCAAAGATGAACAGGGAAAGTGATGCTAGAAAAAAAAGGAACGGAGAAATTAAAAGTTAAAAGACCGCCTCGTACTGTCCCGGACCACCTCATCTACATTGTAGTGCATACACCTCACGCATCACTTAAGCCTCTGAGGCTTAAAGAGACCGCACCTCACCCCCTCGAGGCGGACCACCTTGAAGCTTGAACGCCTTTTAAAACCATGTGGTCAAGGGAAGCCTAGGAAAATTTAAGTAAGGATGATACTAGAAAAAGAAGTCTATAAACCTAAAGCAGAATCATCTTTCTTAAGCATATCGTTAGTGAAAATTTTAAAAGTAAGAATCCATCAGAAGAATACCACAACAACAACCCAGTCGAATCCCACCAGAGTAGGGTCTATGGGGGGGGTGTACGCAGACCTTGCCCCTACTCGAAGTTAGAGAGGTTGTTTCCATGAGACCCCCGGCTCAAGCAGCGCAGATATAGAAGACATGTAAAGCACATAAAACACATAAAGCATGGAATGCACATAGCACAAGGAAGCATAGAGGCAAAATATCAAATTAAAAAATTACGAGGCATACAAAGCACACAAAAACAAAATCCATCAGAAGAATAGTATAGGAAATGTAGCACGAGGCATTAATGACGTATGAAGAAATTATGGTCAAAAGGTTGAACTAATTATATAATGATCATACATGCAGCTTATAAATTTATGTTGAATTGAAATGTTACTAATATTTAATTTAGCCTTTATTATGAGCTTGAAAAGTTAGAAAAGTTAGATAAGCAAAAGGTAATTAGAGAAGCTTATAGTTCCACTGGGAGGCCATTCCCTAAAAAAAAGGAATTTCAATTAGACCCTTGATGTTTTTGCATTTACAACGCAAAACTTCATCCAAAGCGAGATGTAAAGGAAGTTTACCATTCCATTTAATTTCATCCAAAGCGAGATGAAAAATAGACAACATGTTGATCAAGAGATTCACTCTAGAAATTCCACAAATGTAAAGAAAGAATTCTAACTTACTAGGACCAGTTATTATCTAGAATTCTAACGTTTATATACATGTACATATGGAAAGAGAAAATTCCAACCTTTATATACATGTACATATGCATTTTACACTTACGAATATACTTACATGTGTGAGTATACATAAGCACATATAGGGGATGCATAAGGTCGAGAGAATGTGGGGGCAGGTGACACCCCTGCCCTCCCCTTTTGGTTAAGTCATTGCATGACATGAAAGACACATATCAATCATTTACAAAGACTGCTACTTTATGCACGCTGTCAACTTTTTTGGGTGCGTTTTAGATTGCCGGCACAAAAGTAATCAGCAAAAATAAAGAGAAGCAATAAACACATAAGTACTTGATCTTGACTTATGAGGCTTGAATGCTTAAATAAGCAATATACGGTAAGGTACTTGCTTTTGCCTTACAAGGTATCATCTTCTTAAAAGAAGCAATAAGGATACTTATTTTTTCTTAGCAAATACCAAAATTGTCAAAGCAACTTAAAATAAGCAATAAGTAAAATTTAAATGTCTAATAAACACACGCTTTGTAAACCTCTTTTGGAGAATGATACACTCATGTTGGTTTAAGTTAACAGAACGCATGTCTAAACACATGCTCGACCCAAATAGTAGGAGGAGACAGGTAGTTTTCAGAAAGCAGGTTTGTCAGAACGAGCATTCTATTGGAGCATTGGGCCTTATCTCCTACTCCTTTTTGACATCTCCGGTGATGCAGACAACAGAGCTATGATTCTCTAATACAGGTGGAGGTGTGACAGTTCATGCAATCATTTTTTTAGCTATGAAATAGATATTGTAAGCTAAAGAAGATGGAAATGTTTGGATCAGAGCATTGACTTCTATACCGGTGATATCCCTTTCTTGCAAATTTTAATGTCAGAGTGAAGCTCCTGTAACTTTAAGGTTTCAAGTTGAGCAAACCCTACAATGGCACCATCACCGTGCAGAGAAAGAAAGATTGTATCTTTTCCGGTTGATTTCCTTTATTAAAAGCTATTAATTCACACAATGCAATAATTTCCTTCCTTAAAAGCTATTAAGTGTCGGATTAAAGGTGACTCGAACATGGTTAAATACATGAATGGGCTAAGAAACATATGGGATTTGTGGAGAGAAAGGGTTCATTTGAAGTCTAATAGGGAGTAGATAAGCATAATAAAATCATTAATAACAACATAAAGTCAAACAAACCTTCTCTTTCTTGCCCCAATCTACACTCCAATTCCTATTGAGATCAACTCCTCTTCCTGAAAATGCATGCAATATAGTGACGTCTATTTCACAAATAATTGGTTTATATATATATATATATATATATATATATATATATATATATATATATATATAGGGATTGACTCCAGGTAGATGATACCTTACGGTCAGATGACATGCTACGGTCAGATGACGCAAAGCTCACCACTGGCCACTGCAAAGCTCACCAAGGACAACTACAAAGCTCACCAAACTGTAAGGCAAAGCTCACCATATTTTTTCAACACTTTGAATTTTTTTTGAAAAAAAATCAAAGGAAGGGGCACTGACTAGACTTTGACCATTGACCATCACCGGCGATCCCCTGCCTCCGCCGTCAATCGCCGCCGACCGGTGGTTGACCGATGTTGCTATTTTATTTTTTATTAATTTTTTAATTTCCAAATTAAAAAAAGTGAGTTTTGGTGTTCAAAGTGGTGAGCTTTGCAGTATAATGTGGTGAGCTTTGCGTCATCTCACCGAAGCATGTCATCTCACCATAAAGTGTCATCTCACTGGAGTCAATCCCATATATATATATATACACACACACAAACAAACAAAAAACTGCATGACCATTTCTTCTTTCACAAAGCTCCCCCTTTTCTACACGCTTGCGTCCATTCACATTTTCCACTGGAACAACCTAAGAACAAGATAAAGGGTAGGATGTTGAGGAACGGTACAGCAAACCTTTGTACTCTAATGGTTGACTATTTGCAATGGATTCATTCGGTACGGTGACTGAGAGGACAGAGATCTTACCTTTATAACAAGCTTTTCTAAGGAGTTATCTAGTGTATGTGAATATTCCTTTGGTAATTCTTCTTCACTTAAAATAGAAATAATTTTTAGTGCAAGCTCGGTTGTTATAAGCTCCCTCCCATGCTGTCCAAAACTCTGGAACACAAGTAATTATCTGATGAAAATAGCAGGAATAAACAATCTGAGATTTTCACAGTGTAACAAATAAAATAAAACAAAATGTATCAAAGCACAAACTCACTGTATTCCTCTAAATTATATGCATAAAATTCATTCCCTAATTCTCTTTGACCCTCTTTAGTTCACAAAGTGCCAAACTAAACTCAGTAATGCCTAACCATTGCCGACTATGCATCAAATTAAGATCTTTTAATGAAAAGGGACTGACCGACCAAGAAAAAAACACTTACCAGCAGAATTCTAACTTTTGACCTATAATCACAGTCTTTCAAATTCTGGCAATACGTAACTACAGTTGTATCAGCATGGTACCCTTTATTCTGACTAGATATGGTTTTGATCTGCATAAATTACAATTAATGTGAAGACAAAAATAATAATAATCAACAAACAAGATCGAAAAATAGGAAAACCTACAGAGAGTTTGTCTGAGTGCCGGTGAACCAACGCCTCTATTTTTTTCAGCAATGCTCCACTGAGTGCACAAAAAAAGCCAAATGGATTGTGTGTCAATGCAGAAACGCACCCACGAAGAGAAGAAAAACAACTAAAAAACACTCATTTCTTAGCCCCCCCCTACTGACGCAATAGAACAAGAAAACAGTCTCTCCTATTTATCTCGAAGGTTAAGCTAATGGTGTGCTAGAAAAAACCACATCAACAAGAAAACGGTCTCTCCTATTTCTCTATTTTCTTCTTTTAACAGCAATAGAAGGTCTCTAAAACAGGCATCAACACCCTCATAAATTCTGAGGAGTTCCAACTCCCATTCGGGTCTAACAAGGGTACAATTGCTGATATATAAAAAAAAAAATTCAAACCGATCAACAAGGTAAATGTTACCTGTTATGATAAAGATCTAGATTGAGGGGTGTGACAGCAGCTTTCCCATGGGATGCATTACCTTTTCCGTTGACGGTAGAAAAGTAAGCAAGGGACAGTACCATACACATTGATAAAAAGAAGATGGACCCAGAGGCAAAGAGAGAATACAAGCGGCAGCGGTTAAGGCTAGGGCAGCCCATTTAAATCAGGAGATCCGTGGGGGAGAAAGAACAAAAACAAGGACAAAGAACTATCATCCACGAGCTCATTTGCATCATGAGAGTATCTCAGCTAATCTAAGATTCGAAACAACTACATAACGCAATAGATTGGGCGAAGGAGGGTTCCTTCTACGGGCAGAAGTAGACAGATTAGATTGATGGCTGCCCTGGCTGGATGGGAGGAGTTGAGCAAGGCCAAGTTCTTCATTCATTCACGAACCCCTTCCTGTAAAACGATCGAGGAAAAAAAGCCAAATATCATCCAGAAATGGCAGAAAGGCGATGAAATTTGAAGAGTGCGGAAGATTTCAGAAAGACGGATGAGGTCCGACCTTGAAGACAATGAGAAAGAAAGGACGAAGCTTCCTTGAATCCTGCGGGACCTAAGCTAGGACCGTGAAACAAATAAATGTCTCATTCCGGGCTGAACAGGAAGAACAAAATGTCACACAGACAGGCGAAATGGGTGAAAAATTGGTGGTTGGGGTTTTTGTTTTGGAGCATGCTACACTTAGAGCAAGTATTTTATCTCATTTGTACACCACAGTTATACACAAACATTTTGATGATTTATATCGACACAAGTGTTGGTACAATAACAAAAATTTACACAGACACAAAGTGTTGGTGCGTTAACAAAAATTAGTTTTACACCAACACAAAATGTTAGTGCAAACTTGCGGTGTACAAATGGAGTACAAATAGCTTTAACCTATTTTTGTTTTATCATACGAACTCACTAGTCTATCGCTTTTAAATATATATTTCGAGGTGCTCTAAAATATGGGAAAACTAGCTGCAGAGGGACTTTTCGTTATCTTTATTTGTGCCGTTATGTTTTCATCTTCTTCTTCCCAAAAATTATTGTTAGGTATCCCTAATTTTGTAGAAAGAACCTCCAAGTTTCATCTTTTAAAAACTATACTCCGTGATACCCTAAAATATCTAAAAACTTACTCTGGAAAAACTTTCCTTTTTCCTTCTTCTTTTATTAATATTATTACGATTATTATTGTTGTTTTTATTGCTGTTATCATTATTACTACTATCACTTTTATTATTGCTATTATTATTATTATAAATATTATTATTGTTATTACTCACTTCGCCATTGTCTTTCGCAATTGTCGCCGATCATTAGCCATCGGTGTTGTCTATTGGGACCCTAAAACATTTTTATAAACAATGGGACCCTAAACTATTTGAGAAAAGTGTATGGATTACCATCGATCTTCTTCAAAATAGCACAATGTACCCCTAAAGAATAACAAGTGTACCAATCCCCCTCAAATATTCAAACGTAGTGTTGGTCTTATGGGGACCATCGATCACCTTTAGGGATTCGCTACTGTGCTTGTCACGGTATCAAGTATTGATAGCCCAACCTGACGAGGTACATGAGTCGTGTATCTTGCGAAGCCCCTCCTGTCCATCCACCGCTCAGTAGTGGGGCTCCGCACTGTCGTAGTGAACTATAGGGGGTGCCCTATAGAAATCTACCTCGGCTTGGGGCTACAGAGAGATGTGGTTAAATACAAAGTGTCCACCTCTTTAACTTCAGAACTTTGTAGTTAAGCGTGCTGGAACGAGAGTAATCCTAGGATGGGTGACCCACTGGGAAGTTCCAAAAAACGATCCTACTCGTAGCACACTTGCCCCCTGTGATATTTTCGTAAAATTAATTGTAAAAAGTAACTGTAAATACTTAAATTCCCCTTCCTTCTTACATACTCCGTACGCACAAGCTATCCCATTCTAGCTACAATAATAACTACACAACTTCCAAGCAATAGCCGGTCGGACAAGGGAATTTGTTTTGCAGTTTTTTTAATTTTATGAATTATTAAGCACTTAGATGATTCAAGTTTGGGTTTTGTTCATATAAAATTCCTAATTTTGAAGTGTTTCAATCGAAAATTGATTTGTTCATGTTTGGTTTTTTTCAAATTTGGGTTTTGTTCATATTATGTGTACTTGCAGAATGGATGATGGAAAAATTGATTTGTTCATGTGGCATGGTGGTAAGTTTGTGGATGAACCCGAGTTATGCTATGTTGGTGGTAAAAGGCATAGATTTACAGAGATTGATATAGACCTAATGAGTCCATTTGAGTTGAAATACTTGTATGAGGGGATTGGGAGCAATAACAATCGTGATAGTTTCTTCCCTAATGCTCCGGGGAAAAAGCTGTCAGATGGGTTAATGGAGATTAAATGGAGATAGTTTCTTCCCTAATCCTGATAAGATTTGCTACTGTCTATGCTGAGAGTGACTAAAGTGGAAAAGTACTTGCAGATAACATTTTGTTGACGGTTGGGTTGAATCAAGCAAAGCACCAAGAGATCAACATGTTGAACAAGGTTTAAACTTTGAAGGAGCAATGAATGTCTAAAATGTTAGTGAGGGGTTTTGAATGTATTGTTGAGGAGAAAAGTGATTGGGATAAAGTGATAATCACCGGTGATAAATTCTGTAACTTTGAAAATTCTAGATCAGCAAGAGAGAAAACATTTCCCTCAATATTGACTGGAAATATTTCAATGGATTACCCTGAACCTATTAAATTAACTCAAAATACTACATAGTCCCAACAACACTACTAAATACCTCAACTTACTTCAAAAGAGCCACCAGAACAACAACAAGGCCCAACACATTACAAAATTTCTTTATGGTATCATATAGATCCACACCCCTATTGCGATGATTCTCAATGGGCACTACTTCGTTCACTTTGTTTTTAGTTCCACATGCATTCCCAACCTTATGTCGGTAGCTCTCCATCTCAAATTCTCCGTAGTTCCGAACAAAGCGAGCCATTACTGTAATACCCTGTATTAAGATGGGAATAAGAATAGCTAAAAAAGATTGATAGTAATACTCATACCAACATGGTATACCTTTTTTTAGAGTTCATCACTTAAAAACTCTAAAAATAAGTGTGCTTGACTCGGAACAATTTTAGGATGGGTGACCCCTAGGAAGTTCCCTATGCATGCACGAGTACATGAGGACAAAGTGCACGGGAAAAACTTGTGTTGCTTTGTGGGCCTAGCCTACAATCCTATGAGCAAATACTTAAGGCCAAGGTTGGGGCCGAGGTGTTATAAATGGTATCAAAGCAACCATGTGACCATGACGGTCAAAAGAGCTTAGTTCACCTAGCGGGGAAGATCTAGGGGATTGAAAAAAGGATGCAACGAGAATGTTTCATTCTTAAGTTGGGTGAATTTAATACCTTATGCTAATATGGGAATAGGAAGAGCTCAAAAGGATTGATAATACTACTCATATCAACAAGGTGCATCTTCTTTTCGAGAGTTCATCACTTAAAAACTCAAAGCTAAGTGTGTTTAACTTAGAGCAATTTTACGATGGGTGACCCCTAAGAAGTTCCTTGGGCACGCACGAGTGAGGACGAAGTGTGCAGGAAACACTTGTATTGGTTTATGGGGCCAGTCTACAATCCTATGAGTGAACACTTACGACTAGGGTGGGGGCCAGGGTGTTACAATTACAGAGCAGTCAATTGGGAGCGGCTCACCTTGACATTCATCCTTCAATGGATGGCACCAAAGAAAAAACCCATAGTGATCACAAGTATAAAAAAGTCTACCTTTGTTTGGCTTCTTATATGGTCAATCACAACGCCAATTACACAATTTTTTGATTGAGGTGCACAATCACACACTACCGTACCATAGCATAGACTTAATTTAGGCTTTGCCATCTTCAAGTTGGAAGAAATTACTTCAAATTGTCTCCTTGTCAAAACCTTCTTCCTCACACGGTTGTTGGAAGTTGAAGAGGAAGATGGCATGGTCTAGGTGATGAAATATCCCGATTGAAAACAGATTGAAAAGGACGATTTATGTTGGCGAAATCAAGAAGATAAATTGGGAGAGGGTTATTTAGATAATTCCAAAGGGCCGAGGTGAATCACAAGTATAGAAAAGCCTACCTTTGTTTGGCTTCTCATGGTCAATCACAACGCAAATTACACAATTTCTTGATTGAGGTGCACAATCATACATTACTGTACCATAGCATAGATCTAATTCAGGCTTCGCCATCTTCAAGTCGGAAGAAATTGCTTCAAATTGTCTCTTTGTCAAAACCTTCTTCTTCACATGATCGTTGGAAGTCAACAAGAAAGATGTCATTGTCTAGTCGATGAAATATCCCATCCTAATTGAAAAAATAAAACTTCTGTTGCCTAAATCAAGAAGATAAATCTAGGGAGGGTAATTTCGAAAACTCCAAAGGGCCAAGGTGAATCATAATCACACTTTTGGTGCATGGGAGCAACGCACACCGGATCTAGGATTGGAGGACCATTAGAGCAATGTTTTGAATATTTGAGGGGTGATTGGTGCACTTCTTATTCTTTAGGGGTAAGTCATACACTTTTAAAGAAGTTCGGGGGTAATCCATGCACTTTTCCCTAAAATATATTGAAATATCCAAAATACACGAAAAGATTTTAAAATATACTTTGGGCATCCTATACTCCCAAAAACTTACTCTGGGGAGACTTTTGTATTTCCTTCTTTTATTATTAATATAAATATCATTGTTGTTGTTATTTTTATTTTTGTTGTTATTATCATTAGAATGCATGCAACAACAATCCAACGCGACCTAGTAGGTAACAACGGTGACTAGTGACAATCCGGGGACAACTTCGGAAGACAACACTGAAGTGAGTAATAATAATTATAATTATAATAATAGTAATAATAATAATAACATTAATAATAATAACATAATAATAACGATAACAACAACAAGAAGAATAATAATAATAGTAATCATAACAAATGAAGATAACGGTACAAATGAAGATGACAGAGGGATTGACAGAATTCCCCTCCATGGTTAGTTTTCACATACTCTAAGGTACCCACGGTTATATCCTTTACTATAATAAAGGAGACTCTGATTCACAGCAATTCGACATTTTGCATGTCTATTTGGCAAAATTTTAACATGTCAACGCCACGTAATAACTGAGTAAAATTTAAAGAATATTAAAATTTTGACTCCAAAGTCAAAATCAACTTGTGGGGTGCAATTGACGGGGGTAGGGGGTGTGTTCGGGTCGGGGCAGGGTGGGGGGGGTTACCAGGGGGTTAGGTGGGGTAGGAATCATCAATTTTACAAACGAGGCACCAGAGCGCCCCCGGGTCATCCCATGACATTGGAACCCAATGTCATGGGAACCTTGGCGATTATATACAAAGTAAGAAATTGATGTTGATTAAATTGATGGCCTTTAAGATATTAATTGATAAAAAGGTTTAAATAATTGTCATATACGTGTTTATACCACGAAGGTTAAAAGGCAAAAAAATTATATATGATCCTCAATGCAATGTTGATTACATAGCACATGGCTTACTTTTATTAAAAAGA